TTTAAGATTTTATTAAAAAAATAAAGTTTAAAAAAATAAACGCAGGCAAATTTGCCTGTATTACAATTTAAGGGATATTATTGGAATTAATTTTTTTACTGTACCTGAGGATTATTAACATTCTCATAATTAAGCTGGTTTTCTGGGGTACGATCTTTATTTATATTGGACTTGTTCTTTTTTCTCCTTTTATATAAGACGACAATATCATTACTTTTTTCACGCGATGAAGTTACCGGATATTCGTTTGACTCCTTTTTTAAATTTCATTTTTACAATTTCATTATTAATTATATTTAGTTATTTTTCGATTCTAATTTTTTTTTAAAAACAGGTTTATATACCAAAATGTTAATAGAATCATTTGAAGCTGGGTAGTTTCAAGCTGTTAGAAATAATTAATGATAATTATCACTAAAAATTTTATTTAATCCTTACTTGGTTCATTGCTTTTATTGACAAAAAATTCCTATGTAAAAAAAATTATACAGTATAATTAGAGCTATTCAAAATTAATTGCAATTCAATTTTTTTTTATATTTATAATATCTAGGTGGGTTTAAATAAATTTTACATATGAAGCTTAAAAAAAGTCAGAGCAAGTTTGTTTAAAATCTCATAAATAAGAAAATACTAAAAATAATGTGTAATAATAATGGGAAAGAATAATATTAATTAATATTCTTACCGGAATGGGATCATTAACAAGAACGAATGGTACATCTCTTGATCCAATATTTGGTTGTACATCCGAGTCTGAATACTCGTCAAATTGCAGGTCGGCATTAGTATTATTAATTTATCTTAATACAAACTTTGGGTTTCATTACCTTGATTCTTTTCGATTGCATCAGTAATTTCAGCAGTTATATTGACCGATTACATTCTACCAGTTTCATTTAATTTACGCTTTTATACTATATTCCTCATTAAACATAAGAAAATGGTAAAATAACTGAATTATATGTAAAAATTTTTTACCGCTGGATTATCGTCAGTATCATTCTGATTCTGATTAGGTTGTATACGTGTGTTAGCTTTTATTATTTTAAATGGATTTCACATGTAAAAAAAAAGTATGGTGAGTAATACATTTAAATCGGGATGCCGGCTTCTCGAAGTGCTTGCTAGAGATTCATTGACCTTTAACAAAATAATTTAGAGATGCAGTTTTACAATTAATCATCATTGATGGAAAATTAATTCTTACTTTGTTTAGGCTTGCTTTCTTACTAGTTTCCTTTATAGCAGAATATTGATTCTAGAAATTTTACATTTAGCGTTTGTATTTAGAGTATAAAATTAATAACATTAGCAAAACTGGAATACTTGTAAAACCGCTAAGGCTTCATTAACACTTGGTAGTGGACTATCTTCTGTTAATGTTGAAGGAGCATATTCTATACCACTGCGCTTTAGTTAACATAACGTCTTAACATTAGTCTATTATTTTTAGTTGGTTAACAAGCAATGTATTATTATTTACTCACATCATTCTTAGTATAATTATTTTTTGCAACTTTGAACGCTTCATTTATATTATATTTATACTTTGTAATGTTGCTCTTTGCTGAACTGATTCCACTTGACAGAATTAAAGAATCAAATATAATTTCATCTATCTTTTCATCTGTGTCACTAAATTCATCTGATCCAGGTTCCTTTATGAATTTGTTTAGTCATTATTTTATTTCAAATTTTAATCGAATTAATGTAAGTTTAGTAATCCTATCTGAGTATTAGAATTTAAATTTTGTGCTTCATTCTTTTTTTGAATGTCCCCACTCTCTTCAAGAAGTTGTGAAATAGGATTATCGAATCCATTATTATCAGTGCCATCTTCTTCTAAATCAAAACTCGATTCCGTATTTTGTGCAGTATTTTCTTGAATGTCCATTTCTATTTCTAATGATAGATCACTAGGTTGTCTATCAAGATTAATATCTTCAGCTTGAATAACCTATAGATTTTTATTATATTAGTATTCTAAGGTTAATGTAAATATATAAATATTTAATTTATTATTTACTTCATGGTTTTCTTCGATTATTATTTGATCTTTTTCATTTACTTCGGCGAGGTCTACGATCTTTAGAAAATTTTCTCTATTAATGATTACACAACTTAGTGCGTCTAAGTTTACTGTATTTGATGTTCCGTCATTGAGAGTAAGGGTAGCTGAAAGTAACAGATCATTATTAAAGATTATTGCTGCAGCTTTTCCACTCGTTGCCCTCTAAATAAAATTAATTAAATTTTTTATTATTTCTCCTTTGTCTTCAACTGTTTCAATCATGGATAAATTTTCTAAGAAATAAGTAATATCAAAGGTGAAATATATATATGACTAAAATATGACTAAAATTCCTTATTTTTTATTACGCAATTTTTATCAAGATGTCATTTTAATAATTATATAACATAATAAAACGACATAATAAATTTTTGCAATACCTACATGGAACGATCTCAATGACTTTAATTATTTCTAAAACTGATGAAATGGTTATATATATTTGCATCATACTGATTTTTAACATAGTTAACTCAGATGATTTTATTGACTACTGATTTTTAACATAATTTACTCTGATGTTCATTTGTCGTTATTCGCTGTTTGAAGTAGTATATTTGATTAAGCTTTTACCTTTATAAAGCGATAAATCAAATTTCTATGAAAACAGTTGAATATAAAATAAATATTTGCTTCCAAGAGAGATAAATTTTAATTTTAAAATTATTTGATTGAAATGTAAAAATATATATACAGTATTACGCAATTTTTATCAAATGTCATTTTACAGTTATTCAGTCTTAACCGTAGCTCTAAATAAAGTTACAGAATTATTATTGCGAAAAATATTAGTAATATATTCTTCCTGAGCTTGTTTTCTACATATAAATTTTGCAATTTACATACTTAATTTGTATTCTCCACCAAACTTTTTACAGCAGTAATCCTTGAAATAGTAGGATTAACAAAGTTATTTTTCTTAGAAGGCTCTAAATCTTTAATATTTAGTAGTCACTTCTGGCCTTCGCTTGAGGATTATTGTATTTAATTAATCTAATAAAATTATTTTGCAACTATAATTTATTGATTGTAAATTAGTAAAAGCAAAATTTATTATAAAATAATTGCTGTTAGGTTGTATATTTGATTAACAATTACCTTTATAAAGCGATAAATCAAATTCCTTTGAAAATATAAAATAATATTTGCTTCCAAGAAAGATAAGATTAAAATTTAATTTTAAAATTATTTGGTTGAAATTTCATACTGTTTGCGATAATAGCTTTGAGATGGCTTGTCATCACTTTGGTTTCATGACACGAAGATCAAAGAAAAAAATTATCGAAGAAAAAAAGATCAAAAAAGATCAAATTAAGTTAGCCGTGAAGCTGTAGCAGCTTCAGAGCAAATTCAATCTATACTTTTTATTATAAACACTAACCCCAACCTAACTATCAAAAAAATAAGTCAAAATCTCAGCATTATCCCCGGTATAGACCCGACATATATTATTACTCAATCTAAAAGGTTTCGAGAACTATTTTAACAATTTTATCATTCAACATGAAATTGATTTTATCTCATTTATTATGGATATCGCATAGGGATTGGAACCGCCTAAAATTTTTCTTAATCATTTAATCGTTTAACTGTTTAATTTTTCATTACGAAGGTATTTTATTAGTACAGTATAATATGCTTAGTTTTTTTTTTAAAGTTTCCTTATACCCAAAAATTCTGGTTTTTATACTAATATCCTATATAAATACTTGTGTAACTGAAATCATCAGATTCGAATGTTTCCCCTGCTCTTTTTATTGCGCTTTTCATTCTACCAATACAATAAAGCTCTTTAATTACATAATTGCAAAATTCTTTCCGGAAATAACTCTAAGTCCACCTTCAAAATTCTGAAAGTATTTAGATTCTTTTAAATTGATAGAAAATTGGATAAATCAATCGTGGGAATTGATTAAGAATTGAGTAAATTTTGGAAAAGTATAGCCACCAACTTCGCAGGGTTCATTTGCTATTCTGTAGTTTGACTTGAGCTTAGTATACTCGGAGAAACCAAATTAACCTTCCTTCACTGCAATAACTCTGAAACCAAGGTATATTCTCTTCACTGTAATCACTCATAGAAGACTCGCCACCGATCACATCTTTATCGTAAAACTTCACAAAAGTATTAAATTTTATATAAGTGCGAAGTATAAATTGTTATTTATAATTTAAGAAACAATAGATTATACTGTACAATACATATATTATATTATCAATAAATAAAAACTCCCAAAACACGTCATACATGATTTGTGTTAAAAAAATTTACTTTTCGTATATTGATCAGATATGAAATTAGGAATTAATTCTACCAAAATTATGATTACCAGAGTTACGATTTAATTCTACAAAAATTATACTTACCAAAATTATAATTACAAATCAATTTTACCAAATTTATGCTTACCAGAGTTACGAATCAATACTAAAAAAATTATGGTTATAAATTAATTCTGCCAAAATTATGGAACTATGATTATGAATTAATTCTACCAAAATTATGTTTACCAGAGTTACGAATTAATTCTGCGTAGCGTTAGGAAATTGCATGTAAATTACATGTATTTTACTAATATTATAAAATGTCAAGTTGATGTTAATGCTGGTGGAAATTGTTACATTAATCCAGCTATCTATATTGTAACTTGCATAACACAATCTTACCTGTTACAATACATGTAAATTTCAGTACATGAAAAATCCAATTTACGAATCTTACGCAAAAATTACATAAAATACGTAAAATTACGGTAATTTCACAACCCATACTTTCTCTAATTCTGCGACAAATTACTTGTACAAGGTTGAGATGGATTACCAATGAAAAAAATTAATTACGCGTGACAATTAGGTGCTTGGATAGAAATGCAGCCCTACAGCATATCCCTAACAAGAAATTTACTGTACGCAATTTTCAACATATATTTTCACCAAAAGATCTCTACTATATAGCAACCTTAAGAAGCTTGGTAATATAATTCGACAAGTTAAAATATCACTCAAAAACCAATCATCAATACCTATACACCACAATTCTACTATTAACAAACTTTACTGCATTCATCAACTGAATATTCTACAATTACCTCAGACACACAATCTGCTTACTAGTTGGTTGACTACTAGTAATGAAGAATGGAAAGCTCTATATCATGCCTGCAATTTAGAAAATATAAAAGAAATTCGTCAACAAATCAATGATAGTATTTCTAAAAGATGTGACAAGCTCCTATCCAATCCTAAATCTATGATCGATAGTATTCTCAACCGTCACAAAGACCCTGTTAAGTTTGATAACATCAAAACAGACAATGATATTATTACAGATACACAAAAAATCAAATCACATATACAACAGCACTTTGATAACTGGACAAATTATCATATTATTAACCAACAAATATTTGACTCCACATGGCAAAATGAATATAAACCTAAAACTAATATCCATACCGAATAGTATAATAGTGCTCTGAATGATTTCTTGATAGAAGAAGTTTCAACCACACTCTTTCAACTCCCAAACAACAAGGCATGTGGTCTTTCTGGCATCAGCTATGAGATGCTCAAACATGCTGGCCTTTCTTTTCTCCAAGCAGTTACTGCACTATTTAATAGGTGCATCAACACTAACTCAATTTCTAAACAATGGAAAGAGGGAAAAATCTTTCTAATTTCTAAAAAACCTATTTTTGATGGCAATTTAATTAACACAAAACCTATTAGCCTGCTAGAACATATTAAAAAACTATACACCAAACTTTTAACCAACCGGTTAAACCATATCTTTACAAAATATGAAATTCTTTCCCTATATAATTACATTGCACTACCAGGTAACTGTACTGCTATCCCGATACATATACTCAATAATATAATCGAAGAAGCTTCCTGTAACTCTAAAGAGTTGTGGCTCCTATCTCAAAACATAAGCAAAGCATATGACTCTGTTAACCCAAATCTATTTAAACTATCTCTTCAAACTATCTCTTCAACAAATCAACATGCCAGCTAAACTTATTAATATACTTAGCAACCTCCTATTAGACCGCCAAAACAAGGTTATTACTAACCTCGAACTTACTAACTCTTACTCAGTTAAAAATGGTATTGACCAAGGAGAAACAATTACTTCTCTTTTTTGGAGAATCTATTATGATCCCCTCATATACAAAATCTTATCACTATTTACAGGCTATACATTATCTGCCTCTTGGCAAACTAGTTTACAACCTAAAATTAATCAACACTTTCAAACCTCAGTCTCTGTACTAGCATATATAGATAACACATTATGATAGCCCAATCTAAAGAAGAATTAATCCAAATTACCCAACTTGCCTCTTCCTTTTACCAAATAGCAGATATACAAGTTAACCCAACCAAGTCAATACTTGCTACCAACTCTAAGCCCTCCTTTATCTCTTTTATCAATTCAACAATTTACTCTATTCCAGCTAACCAACCTTTTAAGTTCCTGGGTTGTTGGTTTACTCTTAATAATAAGCAGTCAGAGCAGATTAAATTAATCCAAAATGAAACCTTTCAATTAACACATATTGCTAGCACCAAAAAAATTACAGATAAACAAATTACATATATTATTAACACAGTCATTATCCCCACATTAAAATACAGAATTCATAACATTGTACTCTCGCATACTACATGTAACAACATCCTATCCAGATATCTTACAATAGCTAAACACAAATCTCATTTTGCTAGATCAATCCCAAATAGTATTATGCTAAACCCATACTTATATAATATCCACAATATTTGGGATATTCAATTACAACATCACACGACCAATTTTCTTCAACATCTAAATAGCCCTTATCTCTTAGGAACTACTACCCGTATTAGGGTTCCTATGAACTGAACTGAACTGAACTTTAATCAAGTTCAGGTTCAGTTCAAAAATTGAACTGAACTGAACTTGAACATTTTTAAAAAATAAGTTCAGTTCAGTTCAATATTTGAACCTTTAAGTTTAGTTCAAGTTCAGTTCAGGTTCAGTTTAAGTTTAGTTCAAGTTCAGTTCAAGTTCAAAATTAGAGAGTTCAGTTCAGTTCAGTTCAGGTTCAATTAAACTGAACTGAACTTATTTGAACTGAACTGAACTTTCGGAACTCTAACCCATATTAAATTACAACAATTACAAAACAATTTGTGGTCAACTATAAACATACTTTAGCACCCACAACCTTTAATAGATGGTCCTGATAGACAGTCATTAAACTTTAAAATTATCCAGCTCTTTAAACACCTCAATATATCAATCTCAGCAAACTCTAATATCCTATGGCCTAATACAATTCAACACAACCTACAACCAATAGAGAAAATACTTATTAACAACTCTAAATATATTACTTTCAAACGCCAACTTAGAAATCTAAAGGTACTTTATCTTGAACAATTATATATAGCCGACAATACCACTCTTTTGGAATAGAA